TTTTATGGAAATTTTGAACGGTCATATTTAGTTTTTCATAAAGATTTAATTTAAATCTTAATGCCAAGTAATGGAAACATTTACATGGATACAATATTCTTTATGATTATATCATTTCTTCTTTTAAAACGCCTTCTCCTTCACGGTTTTTAATTAAAAAGTATTAACTAAAAGAACAAACTATGTAGATATTTGCTTAAGTATAAGAAGGAATGATAGAGAACTCCCATCATTATTTCAAAGTCATTAAATATGAATTTTCTTCAAGCCGATTAAGAGTTGAGAAAAAGTTGCTGGAATTGTACCCGCTCTTCAAATGTTTTTTTTTTTTTTTTTTAGAGCTCTAAGCTTTTTATCTTTTTTTTCAATTTTGTTCTTAACCCGACCCGATCTCAAGCTGATCGTGCATAATAATCATTTGGCTGCTAACCGGAGGGAAGTTAGGTGCCAACAAATAACTAGGCAGGAGGCCATCATTTGATTGCATTTGCGCCGCGAGGCTCGTGAATCGAGATTTGCGATTCGCGATCTGCGATCCGCCTTCACCAGAACTGACTTTGAGTGCATCATTAGAGACGTGCTAGATTCGTGTAGAAATGCTATAGAATGAATATGGGGGTCTGCAAGGAGAGCCTAGGCAGGCAATTACCTGGAATTATAGTGCTCCGACTAAGTTTGGAGTCGAGAAACTGGGCGAACTGCAGTTCAATTATTGGGTTACCCGTTGGGCTGTTCATGTAGAAGTCCAAGCCAAATTAGCGGGAATTCAAAATGGGCTCGCAACTGCTTTTCCGCGTCCTCAAATGAGAAAGGATGGAAGTGAGAGACGAGCGAAACTAAAATCAATTATATTTTAGTTACTTAACTCAATCTAAAAAATATTTCATAATAAAATAARAGGTTAATGCTCAAATGGGAAAAGCTAAAATTCCGTGCTATTYATCCGCATAAAAAATGTATAGAGAAATGGAAAATAGTAATGAGATCGCTCAAAATATATCTAAGTTCTAAATTAATAAATTTGTATTATTTTTTAATACAATTAGAAATATTGAGATGAATTTGAGTACGCCGAATATTCTATTCACGAATTAATATATATGCCTAAATATAATTAAAATTATCTGGCATCGCTTGAATACAATTACTTAATCAAATTCACTGTTGATACATTAATTATGATGATAGTTTATGGTACTTTGAGTCTTTATTCATTCACTTCAGTATAGAAAAAAAGATCCGAATCGAGATACAGAATGCATATATTCATTCTCTGTCCGCCTGTCTGTCTATCTGTTCATCTGTTTGTCTGTCAGTGCTACGTTTACTTTGACTTCGGTGTGTTTGTGTCTTGCATTTAAAATTGCCGGAAATAATTTCATATACAAGCAGAAGCGAGGCAAACATTGGACCCTCGCATAGGGTCTATAGGGTAGTATCCATATAGTTCTCTGTTGCCTATCCATGACCAATTCCATAAATAGGCTCTTCCGTTTGGCTAGAGCCAACGAATCAGCATTGAAAATGAAAATATAGCTAAAGCTGTTTGTACAACCAATACAACTGCACACACACCCAGATTGTTGTTCTTGTTGTTGTTGATGTTGTTGTTGTTTAGCATGGTCATGAGGTATTCGACCATTCAAGTCAGCTACCTGTTAGCTCATGTCCAAGCAAAGTCAACTCATTGTCATCTTTGAGAGTCCCAGACGATTATATAAGAAAGAGAAGAATAAGAAGAAGGAGGTAAATAGGCATCCCAAAAGCTGACAGATACTTTATTATTATTCTGGATACCTTCTAAACAACATTTTTCTTAGCATTGAGCTAATTAATGTCATCATCGCCATTATTTTTCATCAGATTTTATGTAATTAGCTTAAGTATCTGTATCTGTATCTGTAGTTGTGCATCTTTACCTGTGTGTATGTGCTTGTGTATTTGCTGCGGGTCATAGACCGATAAATGCTTCTGTTCATCATCATTATTATCATTGCCATGAATCATCAAGCACTTGACTCTAACTCTGTTTTCCCTTTGTCCAAGTCCGAGTCCAACTTGGTCTTCTGCTTTTTATAGAACCGTGTGTTTGTCATTCGGATTGCTMGTTTTGGTAATCCTATTTAATGATATTTACTTTGGATACGATTACGATTTCGATTCCCATTGCCGTTACGGTTACGCATTGCGATTGCTCAGTATTCAGAGCGGATTGTCTCATAGGTTCATTGACCGAACAATTTTTTTCTTTCATGGAATTTGATTTGATTTCTGTGGATTTTTTTCTTTGGATTAGGTCAACGCATTACGACTATACATTTGGATGGTGTGCAGTATTTTATAAGTCGTATGAATCCGTATTCACCGGAGTTAAACTATTTCTTGGCCTACCAATACTGCCGATCACTGGGTCTGCAATTGGCCTCTTTTGAGACCAAGGAGAAGGCCGAGTCGATGACCACATATCTGAAGAATGCCGGCTATGGCAATTACGATTTCTGGACCTCCGGAAATCGWYTGGGCACGGGCATGTTCCTATGGATGAGCACCGGACTACCGTTCAATGCAACATTCGATTTCTTCGAGAATTCGGCCGATGCCATCCAAGCGGGTCTGCTCGATCCCGTCGATCACAATAGCAACACCTCGCCACAGCGCACGGCACGCGACAGGTAAGACATGATTCAATTCTCGGGATGACCACATATTGAGGGGGCAGCACACATTGAACTTGAGGCTACCTAAAATTGTTTTTGTCTATATAGCAGCAGTGGTGCCGAGAAGGGCTGCGTCATACTGAAGCAGCCGACGTTGAAATGGATGCCCGAGGACTGCTCTGCCGTTAAGGACTTCATTTGCGAACAGACTCGCTGCTATTATTACAACTATGGCAGCATTCCAGTATCGTCTGCGCAGGGGTAAGGACTACTAGACAGAGAGAAAGAGAGAGAGAGAGAGAGAGTGAGAGAAAGAGCAACGATATAAACAAGCAAAAACAAAAAGCAAATATCTAAATTATAAATCATAAAGGAAAATATAACTTAATAACTACGTCTACTATTCCCTCCTCTAAGTAAAATAAATCGATCTATACGAATGCTTAAGTTGCACTTTAAGCATATATCCTTAATTAAGTATATAAACAGCCAAGCCAACCCAGCCCAAAATAAATATTTATATAACACACGCAATGATACGTGATTAATAAAACAAGTTAATTTAGTTGACCACAAAACGAAACAAAAGATATCAAACAAGAAAACAGAAACAGAGACTCACAATGGAACGTTGCCAAGCGTTCAATTCAAAAAGTAATACAATACTTAATCAAATAGGTGAGCTAAACCCCAAATCGTTAAACTTTACAACTATTACACACATATGCCATACAGATATGCAGATCCTGAATCTAGTTCTGGCTCTGCGTATCTGTATCTATGTTATATACCTAATACAGAAGACTAATGCGCAGCTACCAGCCTATTTATTACTAACTTAAAGAACACTATAAATTTTAATACATATACATWTATATATACAACAMATCGAGGTTTAAAGAAAATATTTTAAACCCGAAATTTGAGAAATCTAAACAAAAAGTAAATCAATTTGTGCAAGCAACAAGGAAAACTATGAACAATTTTTTATTTTTTTTTTTTATAATAATTAAATTTTATCATCAACAAGCAAGATATGAAAAATTCAAATTAAATAAATAAATATTATAAAGCCTTCTAAAAAATAAAAGTAAGAAGTATACAAATCAGGGAATCTTACCAGCTGAAAAAAAAAAAAAAAAAAAAAAAAAACATTTTAAATAAAGAATCTAGAAATTAAAAAATACGAAATGAATAAATACAAAAGAAAAACTAAAGAATAAAGAAAAAAGGAATGAATAGGCTGAAAAAAGAAGAAAATTGTGATTTGAAAACTAAATTGAAAACATAAAATTTCATAATTTTTCGAGAGGYTTGCACAAATTGAAGACATTTGAGCGTCACTTTCGAGACTCCTATTGAAATTTGGTGGTTTGGGGCTTAGCTTTTCCTATAGAATGTTGTTGTTGTTGTCGTTGTTGCTGTTGTCACTAAGATTTGTGCTCAACTAACTAACTTTAGCTTCAGACTCGCACTTTCGCACTAACCCAAATGCCAAGCTCGCTGCAAGTCAATCGACCTACTATGTAACACTTTGATGTATATGTATAAATGTACATACACATATGCATTTCTAGTATATATAAATACATATGGTTATATACATATATGTAATCTTGGTCTATTTTGTTCCGCCTGCTGCAGACGCCCCATAACTTCAACCACACCTCGCACACCTGCCGATCTGCTGAATCTACCATCGACCACGCCTCTGCCCCTCATCATGTCCACCAGCGCCGGCAGTGGCAGCGGCAGCGGCGGCGGTCTGTTTGCCAAGCCCAAGTCGTCGATGTCGATGTCCGATTCAGCTCATCAGCCGTCGACTGTGTGGTTCAAGCTGAATCACGATCGCTCGCTGGCTGATGCGGATGCCGCCGATGTGGATGGCGACCTGGAGGCTGATGTGGAGGAGCACGATGATGCTGATGGCGAGACTGATTTCGATGAGCATGAGCATGAAGCAGGCGATGCCTCCAGCGAGCACGCACGCGAGCTGGGCGATGCCGACGGCGATGTTAAGGAGCACGTTTTTCCACTAAACGACAACGAGCTGCACAACGAAATGCATTCGATTGAGGAGCTACAGCTGCAGCTGCAAGCTCAGGCTAACGAGGAGCAGCCAGAGCATGAGGAGGAAGCATCAGAGGCGGATGAGAATGCCAGTGCAGATCATGAGTCGGAAGCTGACGCTGAGTCGGAATCTGAGCCTGAGGCGGACTCGCACTTCGAGTCGTCGGCCAGGGTCAGCGATGCACCAGCAGCTAAAATGCCCAGTTCCACAGAGTCGCCGGCCATTGAGGTGCGTCTCAAGCAGATAGCACAGGATTTCGAGAAGATGACCAGCTCCCAGGAGCTGCAACGCGCGGCTGCTGCAGTCGTCAGCAAGGATGAGATTACACCACAATCATCGCTCTCACTCAGCGATCTCATTCGCACGCTGCGTCCCAACGAGCAGCAGATCATACCACAAATCGACTCCGACTACTCCAATGCAATGCGTGTGCTGGGCAAAACATCCGCCGTGGTTGGCAACGAGGATTCACGCAAGTTCAAGGTGCTGCCCGAATCACACAACTTCTAGAAAACCTAAGGCATAAGTGCGAAGTGTAGGCTCCAGTTTTGTGGGGCACTGTCGTGGGTTCCACTGAGGAATGTTCATTAACGATGCCCAAAAGATGCCTAATGACGCTTCTCTCTGCGGACCCACCACAGCTAACACATACACTCTCTCTCCATAGATATTAATTAATTACAATTTGTCCAATCCGAGCTGAGAGTCTGACACACTTCTTATATACTACTTACAATATTACTATATAATAATATATGCTTTAATTGTATGACAAAAAATAAAAACTCTTGATTAATAAAACGAATTTGGTAAATGTAAAACGAAGCCTTTAAAATAACTCGCTGAGGAACTCCAAAGAATTTAATAGCTCATATAGCCAATAATCGTAAAATACTTAACTGAAGTTAGGCGATGAATCAGAGGGTCTCTGCAGAAAAGTGCAAATCATTTTTATACCCTGAACCCATTTTCAATGGGAAATCAGGGTATAATGGTTTTGTTGAAATGTATGTAACAGGGAGAAGGAGGCGTGGCAGACCCCACAAAGTATATATATTCTTGATCAGGGTGACGAGCTGAGTTGATTTGGCCCTGTCCGTCTGTCTGTCCGTCTGTCCGTCTGTCCGTNTTCTTAATTTAAAGAGGATTAAAAGCGCTAAAACAGAAAATGAAGCTGAGGCTGAACCTGAATCAATGTAGGACTGTTTGTTGGTCAGTGAAGTCAGTTAATTGTAGACAGAAGACATTAAGAAATGTGCGAAGATTTCTGCTAAAGGGACACCGTCTGCAGTTTAGCTCTAAAGCCAACTTCAACTGCTGCTCAAACAATGAGACGAATTCGTTTGAACTGACTGATGCGAAAGGCAGTTTTACACCTGCCCATATACCTATGCATATATGCGCATCTATATGTGAATATATACTATGTGTTTCTGTGTATGTGTTTGTGTGCAGACTCTTGGTTCGACGAATAACCTTGAAAAGTTTTGCTGGGTCCAACGAACGTATAAAAAAAGAAAAAAAGAAAAAAGTTTCTCTTTTCTTGCTGAAACGGCAATCTCAGACACACAAAAAGGTAAACATTCCTCACGTACATCTTTGAGCAGCTACAACAACAATAACAGTAACAGGGATAATTGAGTGCGGAACTTCAGAATCGCGTTTTTCCTCTTCAGTTTTTATGGCCTGCACCCAAATGTTAAGAATTTTTGTATATTAAACAAAATTTGTAATAATAATAAAAACAGTATATAAATGTCTGGTCGTTAACGCTACGAAACTCAAATTTATTTAGAGTTTTACATTATAGTACAATATATAGAAATTATTTGGAAAATCCTTATTATGACAGCAGTTCAGATCGATGCTAGGATAGAATGCCTTTTAATTCGACATATTAAAACCCAAACGGAACCCAGATTATTATACGAATCCAACTTATCATTTTATTAGGAACTTCATCCAAATAGTTTTAAAATMTATAATAACAATACAAACTAGTGTAAGACATGCCGATCGTTGCATACGAAAATAATTATTAGGAACATGAAAACTGCAATGTTTACAATGGTACCTATATAATCAGGAGAGTTTGATATGAACTCCTCGGAATAAAACATTTTAATTCGCGATTTATTGTCCTCSATATCTKTTGCATCCAGAAAATCAACTTGCTGTCTCTTGGCATTCAATATTTTCGTAATATCTGGGTGATGCGGAATCGACTTATCCAATAAAATGGGCTTACCACTGAAATTAACCAG